AGCTGTGAACAACATCTGCAACATTCACCACCCTTCAGATACATCTACACAGGGAAAAAATACTCCCAGAAATCACCCAGACGTCCCAGCCTGCCCACTCCACAGGTCAGCTGGTATCACAACTTGTTGCCTTCCCAGGAAAAAAAAGGTTACCATCATCACCATCACTGTCAGAAAGCATGGTGGAGCTAATAGAACAAGAGGCTGATAACACTGGTGATGTGTATTTAACTCCCTGACCCTCTCCACTTTATCTAAACACCCCACGAGTACATTCATCTTCCAACACAAGCCTGAAGTGGTCACAGCAATTTCCCACTCGACACAAGGGCTCAGAGTGGTTAATATGTTAAAAAAGAAGAATAAAGTTCAACCCAAAAGGAGATTTACATTTCAGAGAAGCAAATGTATGTGCTGGGAAAGCACAAGCTGTCTGTGCCACTCAGCTCAAGTTCTGAGATGGTTTCATGAAAGGAAAAAGGGATCAAATTTGGCTACAAACAAGCAAGTCACATCCCTCTACAAGTCAGGTTGTGCAGTGACAGCTCACTCAGCACTGGATTCAAACCTCCTCCCCCTGCTCCACTATAAACAAGTTACTCAGGGAACAGGAACACCAGCATTTCCAGCAGAGAAGCTGAAATGGCAAAAAGCTGCAGCTCAAAAATAAAACCACCAGCAAGTGGTTTCCTTGGGAGATGCCGAAAAAAAAAAAAAAAGGGGGAGGAGTAAAAACTAACAAAGGTTTAAGAGCTTCAAAACAGAACAAATCCCATAGCTCGGTACTTCAAATGCTAAAGCAAACGACTGTGCCCTCCATCTGCTTGTGCAGCCCCCAGCACAGCACAGCCCAAACCTCCCCCCCAGCCAGCGCTGGGCTGAGAACCACAGCAGAGGAGAGTGCGTTACCACAAGCCGGGAAAATCCCCGAGGAAGGGCAAGCGCCAGGGAGCAGGAGCAGGGAGAGGACGCCCTGCCCAACGCCCGGCTGAGCATCTTTCCCAGTAAACCCATCCAGCCGCTCTCCTCACCGTGGGAATCAACACACGCCCTGGTTTCAGAGCCTTCACTAATACCCTGACCCGGAGTCCTCCTCCAAAGGCATCACATTCTCCCAGTTACACCAGTCTGCAGCTACCAATGGTAACCGGCAGCATCCACAAGCCTGTAGCCTGCAGCAGTTGGAGCCCCAGGGAGCAGCACCCAGCCCTGGAAGCACCCACTCCAGACAGACTCCTCTCCTCTCCCAGCCCCTGCTGCTGTTGCCTCGGAGGCACACGAGCCCGAGGGGCTCCACATCAGCCCCTCCAGCAGAGCTTCCTTGCACCCCTGGTCCCACAGGCAATACCAAACCCTCCAGGCTCCCCCAGCCCATTCTCACACACCCTGTGTGTCCCACATCCATCATTGCCTCCTTTAACGTCTCATCCCATCCCCTCAATTCCCATCCAACGCGCCTCCCCCTCCAGCCCACGCTGGGGCTCCCCATGGGACCAGCATCCTCAGTCCCTGCCTGCTCCCAGCCCTGCAGCCCACACTGGTGACCCCCAGGGACCTCCATTAACGTCTCATCCCATCCCCTCAATTCCCACCCAACGCGCCTCCCCCTCCAGCCCACGCTGGGGCTCCCCATGGGACCAGCATCCTCAGTCCCTGCCTGCTCCCAGCCCTGCAGCCCACACTGGTGACCCCCAGGGACCTCCAACATCTCCTTATCCCTCAGAGCACTTTCAAACCCCCACAGCTGCCCTACACACCCTCATTCCCACAC